CACATTGTTCTCCCTCTCTATCCAGGATCTCCTACATAGATCCCCTTCCAAGTGGATGACAGTGGCAGCTGGGCACCATCTAGTTCTTCTGTTCTCATAGTCGTATAGGCTGCAGATTGGATGATGTACCACCAGTCACTAGGACTGATTGTATCCATGAATTTTTGGTCCAATTAGTTCTTGTTTCAGCGTTGTGGAGGCTAGGGTTCACATGCTCCATTAGTGCTTCGGACTAATTGTGTTCTTCAGTCTTTTGACTTTCCTTACTGTTCTTTGCTCTGGACAGGGAGGGCCACTCACAAGCTGTTAAGACTCCAGTTACTACACACCAAAGTAGGATGTAGAACATTGTCTTTATGGACTGTGTCATGCTAATTGACCATACTGTATCCCAAGACTATGGTCTTGAGGCCCTAGGCCCAGTGACTCATTCCCTCAAGTGTTTGTGTGACTAAGGTGAGAAAACAGAATTTTTTTAGAGACTGAAAAAAAACTTGTATGTATCTGTTCTTTATGGAATATTTTTATATGCATGTTTGTGTTCTTAGGAACTTATCACATCTACATGTTACCCAAAACTTCAGGAAATATTAACATAGTTTATTTTGGAGTAAAGTTAGGCTACCTGCCTCATGGGATTTCTGTGAGAATTAAATGAAACAATATGTATAACATTCTTAAATAAAAACAACAATTAATAGTGCTATTAATTGTTAATCATAAAACACTGAGAGACTGTTTACTTCTTTATAGAGAACACTGATTTGTTCTGCAGACATCTGCCTAGTGCCTGCTATCTGCCAAGTGATGTGTTGAGTATTATGGATCAGGTTTTTTTTGGGGAAAAAAACAAAAACAAAAAAAGACCACGAACCTTGGCCTCAACATGTGATAATAACAATTAACATATAAAGAAGATTTTATGGTTTATACAGAACTTTGTTTTAACATACATTATTAGCATTTTCTTTATAGACAGTCCTTGGCATAAGGTACTGTTTTACCAGATGAGAAACCTGGGGCTTAGTTAAAAAGATTGTCACACAAAAGTGGAAGGGGCTGAATTCAGACTCATGTTAGTGATTTGTCAGCCCTGATCCATATTGCTGTTGTAGTTTTATTTTGCTAGAACAGTGACTTTTTTAAATCTTCTTGCAATAGAATCACTTGGCGTTCTTGAAAAAAATGCTGAAGTCTGGGTCCTGTGCTCAGAGATTCTGATTAATTAGTCTGGTATGGATTTGGGCATTGGTATTCCTCACATGGTTCTAATCTGAAGCAAGGTTGAAACTACCGTGCCAGGGAATGGAACTTTAATTCTCAAAGTGGGTAGGAGGTGTGGCATCTGACTTCCAAGCTATGATATGTAGGGGCTGAGACTCTCTTCAGGAACATATTCTTTATAGCTCAGTTACGTTGCAGTTTTAGCAGTTGGCACCACTTTGGCAAAGAACAAGATTCCAGCCTCATATTTTGAAAAAGATATGTTTGGGTAGTAGGATGTCCAGTTGGAAGAATCTAAGGTGGCTTTGGTGATTAGCTTTTAAGGCTGCCTAATTAGCTTGGTGCTGTGGTCCCTTTGGGGGCTCTAGTGGCATAGTGCCTAAGGCATTTGACTGCTAACCAGAAGGCTAGTGGTTCAAACTCAGCAGCCACTCCTCAGAAGGAAGATTGGGCAATTTACTTCTGTAGTGATACAGCCTCGGAAACTCAAGGGGAGGGGTCACTGTGAGTCAGATCCGACTTGACAGCAGTTAGTTTTTGGTTTATGGTCCCTTTGGATGCTACTGCCTCAGCTAGATAGATAACCCATTGCTGTTGAGTTGATTCTGACTGCCAAATAGGCCAGAGCAGAGCTGCCCCATAGGGTTTCCAAAGCTGTAAATCTTTGTGGAAGCAAACTGACATATCTTCTCTCTCATGGAACATCTGGTGAGTTTGAACATCCAGTGTTTTGGTTAACAGCCAAGTACTTAACCACTGTGTTACCAGAGTTCCTCCCTTAGCTAGCTAGATGTTAGGAAAACCAGCTAGAGGGAAATCTTAAGATTTTCCTGTGGAGAAGATCTTAGTTCCAACTACCCTGGAGGTTGTTTTCATGGTAATATGGGTCAGCCAAAGAATTGTAATCTGCACTAGTTTACTTACTTGAGCTGTGTTTTAATCTCATAATTAAGTATGTTATCCAGTGTTTAATCTAAATCTTTAGCTTAAAATCATTTCCCATTTTTTTTCTAGCTTCTGTAGAAATTTAGAAAAGCTTTATTTACTAAATTAAGGAGCTGTGGTGAAGCGGTATCTTAAATGTAAAGTTTAAACAATATTTCTATTTGTTGAATTGAAAAAAATACGTAAAATAAATCAAATGTAGTATAATTATAATTTTCTAATCATGCTTGTATAGGTTTTTTTTTTTTTTTTTTTGAGGTTCCACTGAGGTAGAATAGAAATGTCATTCATACAAAAGTGTTAAATTGCTGTTTATTTTTACTTTCAGTTTAAAAATCCCCTTATTATGCTGCTTCTGGCTTCTGCAGTCATCAGTGTTTTAATGCATCAGTTTGATGATGCTGTCAGTATCACTGTGGTAAGAAACAAATATATATTTTAAATTGTTAGTTAATTTTATAGATTGGGATTGGCTTTCATTTTGGAAAGTGGATTGTGAAATGTCTTAAATGTTTCTTCAGGGTTTTTTTTTTTTGTTAATAGATAAATTCTATTTTTAGTTGCATCTCCAGTAATGCTCAAAGATCTGTGATTGACACATTTGAAAATTATTTAACAATGTGATAATTTCATATAATAAAATATTTTATAATAATTTTCTAGTTAAATTTTCAGTGTTTTTACTTTCTAAGTGAAAATACGTTTTAACTGATTATGTATGAAGTCTGACATATGTGAATTAACAGCAGTCTTTTAACATTGCATATTACTTTCACTGTGTATGATTTTATTTTTTCCAGCTAGTTTATTCTAGCTTTCTTTGATTAGTTTCATCTTTTTTCTTACTGTTTCATCTTAATATAAAAATTAATAACAAGTACAAACATTCATTTAAGCAAATGTGTTTTGCTTAAGAATGCAGTAGAAATTAATGTTGAGTAACAGTTTTTGAATCGTTGCTTGTGAACTTCCAGGAGTTGTTGAGATTCTTTAAGGGGACACATGAAGCCCAAAACTATTTTCATAATACTGAAATATTATTTGTCTTCACATATATTGACATTTGCATGACACAAAAGCACTGGTGGATAAAACTGTTAGGGCCTTAGCACAAATCAAGACAGTGACACACAAACTGTACTAATAGTCATTGTTTTTTATTTATCATTTCTCTTAAGTATATTCTTGATAAAGCATTAAAAATTAATTTTATATGTCTTGAGCCTTGGGTACATGTCTTTTTAATATTCTGTATGATGAACTCTGGTAGTGTAGTGCCTAAGGCACTTGACTGCTAACCAGAAGGCTAGCGCTTCAACCCCACCAGCCAGTCTTCAGAAGGAAGGTTGGGCAGTCTGCTTCCGTAGTGATACTGCCTCGGAAACCCAAGGAGGGGTCACTATGAGTTGGGTCCGACTCGAAGGCACATAACAACAGCAACAACGTGATGAAATGGGAAGTATATAAAGCACTTCTGCATATTGGTGTATGGTGGTTGTCTTAAGGAAGGTGATTGTTTTAAGTTGTGAGCTGAACTAGCTTTTTACCTGTAGAACTATCTGATAGACAAACTATGGTTATTAACTCCTGGGTAAATTGGCAACTTTTTTTTGAAAGTGAATGAAATGAGCCTGTGGCTTTAAGGAAAACTACTGATAGAATTTGTTGCCAATGATAAAATTAAAGCTTTCAGATGATAATTAAATTTTACAATATTTTTACGTACGTGCCACTATGAGCTGTATAGTTTTTTAGTGTTTATGACTTTACTGATGAGATTTTCTGTAGTGGTATCAATAAATGTGATTTTTTTTGGCTGTTATGAAATTTGTCAATGTTTGGACAACTTGAATAACCCAGTGAACCAGTATTTTCCAACTGACCAGTGCATGATCTTATAAAATCATGATTGGTAAAAGATCCATTCAAAATGCAAGGTAAATCAAAGCTTTCGCTATAACAAATTATAGAAAGTTCATTGATAGAATTTCAGGTTCTACAATGCATATTATCTTTAAGAAATTAATACTTGGCGAGTTTTGGTGTAGTAGATAAGAATATCCCAGCCATCTGAAAAGGCTATTAACGTATTCCTCACTTTTGCAGCTGGAATCTGTGTGAGGCTGGATTTTTTTCCATACATTTCAAACTAAACAACATAACTCAGTAAATTGATTGCAGCAGTAGATATGAAAATTTAGTTTTATATTAAACCAGACATTAAAGATATTTTGTTGTCGTCATTAGGTACCTTTGAGTCATCTCCAACTCATAGCGACCCTGTGCACAGAAGAACGAAATACTGCCAGCCTCACAATCTTTGCTGAAGATACTTAGGAAATGTTACAACATTGCCAATCTTATTAGGAACTTTTTTGTTTTGGAAAATACAATTTTCACAAAAAACATTATTTTTGTTAACATAATAGGTTTATTTTTTTAGATGAATTAAGTAGAAATGAAAGCTGAAAACTGAGTAATTGTTTAAGTATGTAGTAAGATAAATATTAGTAGATAAAATCCATGTCAACAAAAGCTCTTTGTGGTTCTCAATTTGTAATAAGAGTATAAAATGAAACCTGTTGCTGTTGAGTCAATTTCAATGAATATTGATTCTATAGGACAGTAGAACTGCCACATAGGATTTACAAGGCTACAACGATGGGCTAAGGTATAACAAGGATTGTGAGGCTGGTGCAGATGTGGGCAGTGTTTTGTTTGGTTGTACATAGTGTTGCTATGAGTCAGGGCCGACTTGACAGCACCTAACAACAACACTTTTTTCAGAAGCAGACTGTCGTGTCTTTCCCTTGTAGAGCTACATTTGAACCACCAACCTTTCTGTTATCAGTCAAGTACTTAACCACTGCTCCACCAGGGTTCCTTTGTGAGGATATAAAGTAGTCCTGGAATCAGAACATTTGTGATGCTGTCCTAGGGGAGTAAGCCACCATTAGCTGTCATTTTCTTTACCCATAGACCTCTGGCCAAACTGATGATTTTTTCATCAGCTGTTCTCAGGGCTTACAATCTTGGTGCTACAGATAAAGGCAGAAAAATAAAATATGGTGATTTCTCAAGTTAATATCTGATTTAAAAGGCAGTTTTTTTTTTCCTTTTTATTTAGGCAATACTTATCGTCGTTACAGTTGCCTTTGTGCAGGTGAGTAGGTAGCCTGTTTTTATATTTTTCAAAAAATTTTAGGTATAGACAATTCCAGCACACTTGTGAGACCAACTTAAGTACTTTGATTTATGTAGTGGGATGAAATATACCTGGTTTTTTTTATGTGAGTGTATTAAGAATAACTGAAGCAAATGGAACTGAAAAGTACAATAGTAGAAAAAATACTGAGCAATTGATTTTTGTATCTTTCCACTTAAAAAAATTCAAGGTTATATTCTTATAACCTACTATGTATTAATACTTAGAGCTAAGTCTAAAAGAAACCAAAGAAGTATAGAATTAAAAGGTTTATGAAGTACCATTTGAAGTGAATTCTGTAGATCACTGAATGATTCCCCTTGCAGAATGATTTATTCAATTTCTTTTTTCTTATATTCTTATTTCATTTGAGTCTTTCTTGGGGGAATTAATCTTCTTATCACTGATGGTTACTTTTTTAAATTCCTCATTCCTCCACATGTTCTGATCTTGTGTTCTATAAATAACAATTGAAAAACACTCTAAAAAGATTTTGTTTACTGTGAATCAAACTTTTATCAAAAATACTTAATACTGTGACAGTATCAAGTATTTTTGTCTTTAATCTAGAAGGATAATGCTTTTTATATCCTTTTTATATTTGTACCTGCCATAAAAATAGCTAATTATAGTCACATAATGATGCTATCTTACTGTAAATTTGAAAGGTAAGTTTTAGGTATTTGTAAGAAGTGGCACTCAAAGATACGTGGTCTTGATTTTGGCAGTATGTTAAATGGTCGTTTGATGTAGAGGTCTCTTTAGTTGTAGGGAGTAGTGTCTAAGAACAGTGATAGAGGTTAGGTAGCTTCTATGTCATTTATTATTAGAATCTAGGATTGGTGTGTATTTTGTAGCCTTCTATGGAATTATTGAGTAAAGTGTCCAAATTCTTTAATATAATACCCTTCGTATGGTTAGGAGTGTCTTATAATTTTTTTGTTTATAGATTTTCTTCTTCTTTAAATATTTCTTACATATTTATACTTTGTGACAAATAGAGGCTGATTTAGTTATAAATTATTCTAATACAGCTTTGCATTTTCAGTTTGGTAAAAGAGTTGTGATGGATGTGAAGTTTTGATTGCAGTTATTTTCAAACCCTCCCTCCCTTTCACTCCAACCACTTCCTCTTTGTTTCCTTTAACTTTATATCCAGAGATTTGTGTCCTTAGTGCAAATATGAGGCAAAAATAGCATTGATGTGATGTGTAAAGTAAGACTGCTCCTGGAAATGTGAACTACACAGTATAGTGAAGTGGAGGATGTCTCTGACTCTCAGCTACGGTTGTGTGGATGGAAGAAGGCTAAAGCATCACAGACTTAGGGCACCTATTTTCCCTTTTTGATGATTCAAGATGATAGGAAAGGTATCCATCAGTGTGGGGCTAGCCACATCTCACTGCTTGTATTTTTTCAACCTTATATTTTTTTCCAAGTGAGTTTATTCCATAAACCATTGCACTTAGCATCGGCTTAAATCCTAAATCCTCAAAGTAAATGTTGCTTGTAGTTAATTGCCTTTGACTTCTTTAATCTTTGAACACTAAGCATAAAATTATCTTTAATTATGAGGCTTAATGATAATAACTTTCAATGACTCAAAATTATATACTCTTGTACACATTAATCAGCTTTTTTCATTTTCTTAAAAATAACTTAACCTAAGATTTGTACATTGGATATTAAAGTGTAAAATTTTGGGGAATATTTAATGATCAAAATTGTTTTGTCACTGTATTTTAACATTATTTAATAAGAACAAGCTTTTATGGGTAGGAATGTAAGCACAGGTAAAGGAAAGGATAAGACTGGAGTAAATTTAAAAATAATCATTCAAATTCATGTTTAACTATGCTTATCATGGACTATGTTCACAGGGATACACATAATTGTACATAAGTTTTTTTTTTTTTTTTTTTGGATGGCTTAAGAGGGACTGGAATTGCATAGTAAATAGGCAGGCTGAGGGGTCTCCATAGACCTTGCCCGGGGGGTTGTACATAAACGTTTTGTTCAAATTATTGATCTCTGCTTTTTCTTTTGAATAGGAATATCGTTCAGAAAAATCTCTTGAAGAATTGAGTAAACTTGTGCCACCAGAATGCCATTGGTACGCTTCTTGTTTCTGATAACATAAGAAATTCCACCTTTTTAAAAGTGACTAGAACAGGCTTCATTATGACTCCAGATTTGTGTAAAGATAGAAAAACCATAAATCAGACAAGAAAAATTCACATTCTGTTCACTGTAACAAATTGCACTGTTAAAACTTTAAAGTTCTGATTTTGAGATTCTTGAGACATGAATTTATTCAACAGATTATTTTTTACATGTGAGTACACCAGGCACTGGCCTGCATACAGTGTTGAACAAACAAACAGACTCAGATTATTCAGAGGTAGCTTCACTTTTTACATTTGAACAAATAGCCAGATTTTCTGTCATCTAGGCATCTTAATTACCAAGAACACAGAAAATCTCTTTTTCTTGGTTCTTACTTGACTTAATGGAAGTGGTAGGAGTAATAGAATGTTTGTTCCCGGGCAAGCCCAATGAAAGGTATTTTTTTAGATGAGTGTCATGCTTCTTTTAACCAGTGTTACTTCTGTTTCTTGGTACAGTGTGCGAGAAGGAAAATTGGAGCATACACTTGCACGAGACTTGGTTCCAGGTGATACAGTTTGTCTTTCTGTTGGAGATAGAGTTCCTGCTGACTTACGCTTGTTTGAGGTAAATTTTGAATCTTATTTGTAAAGCATGGTTAATAGGAATGAGGAATTGTTCTATATAGAGAGTAAAAGTGAAATACTGTCTTATGATTCTGAACAGCATGGTATTTTTAACTGTAAAACTATAAAAAAGACTAGGCTTACTGGTCTGATAGGGACTGGTGGAACCCCTGAAATGATGGTCGTTAGACACTCTTGAAACTTGGAACTGAACTTACCCCTATGGCTTAACTTTCAGACAACTAGACAGGCCTATGAGGTGAACAGTAACACCAGGGAGTATGTACTCATTAGAACAGTCAACCATATGAAATCAAAAGGGCACATTTGCCCAGGAATAAAGTTGAGAAGGCAGGAAGGGATAGGAAAGAGGGACAAAGGGAAATGATAACCACAGAGCGGAAGTGGAAGGATTACTGTTACATTGTAGAAATTGCAGTGAATGTAACAAAACAAATGTGTGTGAATTGTTGAGTAGAAAACCAATATGTTCTCCAAACTTTCACCCAAATCACAATAAAACAAAGAAACAACCTATTTGGCACAGTGGTAGCTGTACTCACATCAATAATTTATATACCCTGGGTGTAAATTTGTGAAAAGTGAAAATACTTGGATATAGATCAGAGGATAAGCATTACCAGTTTTAAGGATTAATACATAGTTGATTTGAAATATTTGCTTTTCTAGTTTCAAAAGTGATATATGTAAACATGCCTTTTTTTTTTTTTAATAATACTTTATTGTGATTAAGGGGAAACTTTATACAGAAAATTTGTTTTTCCATTAACAGTTTCTACACAGATTATTCACTGATACTGGTTACATTTTTTACAGTGTGTCATCATTCTCATTCATTTTGTTGTGGTTGTACCATTTCTAGAACTCTAGTTGTGGTTGTACCATTTCTAGAACTCTCTGCTTTAGAGTAATTTTTGACCAAGTGGCTTCATAGATGATTTTTTTAAAGGAGCTCATATATCAGTAGCATAGTACCTAAGGCATTTGAATGCTAACCAGAAGGCTGGAGGTTCAAACCCACCAGCCACTCCTCGATGGTTGGGGAGTCGGCACATAACAACAACAACAACAACATATATCATGGTTGATATTTTTTATTTTATGAGCCAGTCTTATTTAGCTAAAAGTTATGCTCAAGGTATAATTTCAGTTTAAGGTATAAAGAGTATTTCAGGACAGTAGTCCCAGGAAGTCCTCTACTCTTAGCCAGTCCAGTAAGCTGGACTTTTTGAGAACTTGAGTTCTGCTCCTCATTTTTCTCACTGGCAACAACCCAAAATGTGGATGTAGGCGTATATGTGTATGGGTATGAATATTCGAGTACATACATGTATACAGACAGATGTGTTTATAGGTATATATCCATACAGGCATGTATGCACATGCATATATATTCACATATGTAGTAAACCACATAGGAGACACAGTTGTGGATACTTCTTTGACGTATCCAAACACGTCAGAAGATTGGTTTTCTGAGTTTGAAGGCTTAGCACCATAGTCTCATGGGACAACTCAGTTAATTAAGGCCCAATATTGGTCATAAAGTCATGGAATGTATGTACATGTGTATATTTGTGTGTATATGTGTGTGTGTATATAAGGAGCTCTGGTAGCGTAGTGCCTGAGGCATTTGGCTGCTAACCAGAAGGCTTGGCGGTTCACACTCACCAGCCACTTCTTGGAAGGATGGTTGGGCAATCTCCTTCCGTAATGATACTGCCTTACAAACCCAAGGAGGGGTCACTATGAGTTGGATCCAACTCGACGACTGTGAGTTTGGTTTTTGGTTTTGTGTGTGTATAACGAAGTGTTCATTTAGTATATTAGGTGTTTGTTTAAACCTAGGTGTTAGGCACTGTGGAAGAAACAAAGATGGTAAGATAAAAAGTATTCCATCATGCAGTATGTTATTTGTGTACATAAATAACTCACCATAAAACAAGATAGAATTCGATAAGGGAGGATGAGAAGTACAAAGAGTGTGGAAATTTAGAGATCGATGAGGTCACTTCATATGTGGATGAGATAAAAAAATGTAGCAGACAATGTAACTTTTGGTGGTGATGATTACAGGGTAGTATTGGGCAGAGATGATGAAGACGAAATGAATCAACAGTGTTCAAGTCACTGGGAACGTTTCATGGGGCTAGGGTTCTTTAAGGATAGAAAATACATGGTTGATTCTGATTTAGGAAGACTTTGAAACTACACTTTAGATTATATTGGTTAGGAATTAGATCTTAAAGATGATGTGCAACTGGTAAATGATGTTAACTTTAATTTGGCCACAATGTGTCAAATGGACTGAAGGGGTGAAAAATGGGGCCTTCATAGCTCATTAGTATGCCACCCTCATCCACTTGTGAAATTAAGAGCTGTTCATTGACACCTCCTGAGCTGTCAATCTTTGAATACTAACCATGTCCCAAAGTTCTCATATACAATTTATGGAAAGCCTAAACACTCTTTTGAGCTATAACCAAAACCAAACCAAACCACTGCCTTGGAGTCAGATCCAATTCATAGAGACCCCTCCTTGGGTTTCCGAGGCAGTATCACTATGGAAGTAGATTGCCCAGTATTACTTCTGAGGAGTGGCTGGTGGGTTTGAACCACCAACCTTCTGGTTAGCAGTGAAATGCCTTAGCACTATGCTACCAGAGCTCCTTTTTTGAGCTATAGTAAGAACAAAATTCATTTAATCTTAAAATAGAGGTCTTTTCCCCAATTGCTTGAAATTTATCTTCCAAAAGATAAAATCAGGTTGCTATAATTGGTTGAGTGGGAGTAATTTATAATATAGCAAGTATTAGGAATGTTACAAATTTTACTTTTTTGTTGTGGTTTTTTACCTTTCTCCCCTTTGTAGGTCTTTTTCTGTTATTTCTTGTTTCTTTATTTCTGCTCCCTTCCTCTTGTTCATAATATTTAGTTTATGCAATACCTTGGATTACTCTTTTTCATAGATAGGGTAGTCCTGTCATTTGATACGACATCTTTTCCCAGAGAGCACTAATTTGAATTCAGGAAGTTGATATTATCTGTTCTAAATTACTTCTTTTCCAATTTAGAAGCAGGCTTCCTTAGTGGGATAGTCAAAGGTAGTGTTTTCCATAGTTTGAAAAATTTGAACACTATAATGACAGAAACTTCAAAACACCACTTGTCTTGATATCAAGCATTTTTAGGGTTTTTAATTAAAATAAGTGCTAATAATGTGAGAATTAAATATCTTTGAAGTTCACATACAAACAGGAAAAAGTATGGGTTAGTGTGATTTTGATTCAGTAAATATATATTGAAGATGTTGTAAGTTCAGTAAAAAGTTTTTTACTTGTTAAAGTGTTTGCTGTTGTTGTTATGTGCCGTCGAGTTGGACCCAACTCATAGTGACCCCCTCCTTGGGTTTCTGAGGCAGTATCACTATGGATACTGCCTCAGAAACCCAAGGAGGGGGTCACTATGAGTTGGGTCCAACTTGACGGCACATAACAAGGTTGGGCAATCCTACTTCCGTAGTGATACTGCCTCGGAAACCCAAGGAGGGGTCGCTGTGAGTCGGGGCCGACTCGACGGCACATAACAACAACAACAATCACTATGGAAGCAGATTGCCCAGTCTTCCTTTCGAGGAGTGGCTGTTGGATTTGAACCACCAGCCTTCTAGTTAGCAGTCAAGTGCCTTAGGCACTATGCTACCAGAGCTCCCATGTTAAAGTGTAACATGTTAAAAAATTATAAGGCATGTGCCTTGTGTAGTAATTTGTTCATTGTTAATGCTTTTCTTCTCCATGTTAACTTTTCAAACAATTTATCAGCACATGTTATATTTTGCAGAGCTGTAGTTAGGTTGATTTTATGCTAGTTAATCCGTTTTTATCTATGGCTGCTTTTTTTTTTTTTTTAAATTCTCTCCACTGCAATTCTGCCCTGTTTAGTTTGCCAGCTATCCAGTTCTATAGGCAAGCTTTTGAAACCACTTTGCTAGTAGGTTGAAACAACTTCTTAAAAGATTTGGGTGTTTTGTGCTGCTTTTAGATTTAAATGTACAGACTTAAAGCATAAATCATAAAAACACTGATAAGTTTGCTTTCTCCTCTAGACACAGAAGCTTCCTGCTTTTGGGGATCTGAATTGGCTTATTAGAGTTTGTTTGGCTATAGTGATCATTGGATGATTTTGCAAGCTTAGCTGGCCATTTAATACCCTGAATAAAATAAATTATTCATTAGACCTTAAAGGAACCAGAAAACTCCTCAATCGATGTTGAGATATCATTAATTTCTCACAAACAAAGCACATGGATTTCACTTTAGAAAAAGCAGACCTCTGGACTTCTGCAGCATGGCTCTTATCTTGTGGCTGGACCCAAGATTAATGTTGCCACCTTAGCATTATCATGCTTACAGCTCTGTGGTCCTTGTCATGAGTTTCATTAGGTAGTGTTTCAGATTTTGGCTGTAAATCTTAGTTGGATCCATAGCAGCATCTTGTCAGCACAATCAAGTGACCTGACAGCTATACATCTTTTAACTGGTATTACGTGTTCATAGGCTAAGACTGCATTTGTAAATAATTTTTAAAGAAGATTAATATTGTTAACCTGAGGAATTTTTATCTTGTTTGTTTTTTCCTTGCCAAGTCAGTTTTCCCTAAGCCAGAAGAGAGAGCCATAGTGTGTTGGTGGTAGTAACCTTTCTAGCTCAGAAGGCTTATAGCCACTGGTGCTGAGGAACTGTTTTTCACTGAAAAACGGTGGGCATATATTTCATCTTTTCCTCTGAGAGTTTTGTTTTACTTTTTAACAGTATTTGAGAAGTGACAACCATGGACAGTTGCTGGTGCCAGTGGATTATTGGTCAATGACTTTAAATGAAGCGGTGTTTGTTACCTATTTATATCTGCATAATAGTGCATTTTGCCTTTGTGAAAAATAGCATATTTTCTATTTAGTTCAAGGTAAAGTTTCTATCAGTA